ATGTTAGGATGAAAGTGTTGAAAATTATGTCCTAATTTAGAAAAGATTAATTCATGAGCCATAAAGGGAGAATGAAAAGTCTAAATTGTTTTGAAATTAAAGATGAAAGTTAAGAGCAAAAAAAGTGTTTCCATGAGAAACTCAAGAACTTACAAAAAAAAAGTATAAATTCCCAAATTTAAGTGAAAAATTTCCCCTTTTTTGTTTTTACAGATTTCAAAGTAAATTATATTTTGAAAATATTTCTAAAAACATATTTTATTTACATTTAAAAGCAAAAAGGTTATAAATTTAGGATGTGACATACAAATTTATGACTTCAAACTAGAAACCTGACAAGAAAATTAGACTTTTTTTAGAAGAAATGTATAAATTTAGAGTTTCTACAGTTTCTCTTCTTGTAAATAATCAACTTAATCTTTGGAAATGTTTGTTTTTATATACTTAAGTCACTAATTTTGATCTTGCAAGGTTACTTTTTTTCATAATTAAAGTCCCCCCCATCTCAAAATAAATAAATAAATAATAAATAAATAAAAAACGAAAAAATTAATAAGTTTTAAAATTCATTCAGTTATAATTATTTTTTTCTGTTATTACACAACAACATTTCACAGCAACAAGCTGCTACTTCTCAATAGCAGGCTGTTGCTTTAAAGAACAGACCGTTGCCACGGATACGGCTTTAATAACAGACCCTAGCTGCCTTACTGTAATTATATCAGTACCCCTATAGAAGCTGGGAGATCTGTTTAGGTAAGAATAATATATATTTTTCCATTTACAACTTAAAATCACCTGAAATTGTCTGGTCTTTTTCTTGCTGATACTGGGACTCAGTTTTACTCTCACACTGACATCAGTGTTTATAATTCAATATGAAAAACTGCCATGCCCTTCACACAGTCCTTTATAGACAAAAACACAAGCTGATTCACCCCGACTTCACCCCGACTGTGCGCCCAACTTAAAGCGAGATAAAAACACGTTTTGGTTCACCTGGTTATTTCTAAGATGCATGCAGGGTAATCAGGCTTTTCAGATCAATTCAACATCAAACACAGCTCAGTGTGTGAATTTTATCCTATAAACGCTTAATGCACACACCAAACTGCTGGTCAATAAGGTAAAGACAGGAACACAAACACAGCCAGGGACACGGAAAACACGAGAAGGACAAATGAGTTTTACTTAACCTTAACAGGGTTATTAAAAAACCCTAAAAGACTACTTGAATTCTGAAAATAACAAGAGATGCAGCCCCAATATTCCACTTTGTAGGAGTCTGTCTCTACTTCCTGTACGTCTACAGAGTGGTAAAGCACCACTCTTTTTACCTCTACAAAAACAAAGTGAAATGACTCTACTCTCACCTTCTGGACCTGGAGTTTAAAAAGACACACTGCATGGGGAGCTTTCCACAGGAAATGGAGAGAGGTGTGTGGTTTAGTTTTGACCCAAATAGAGGGCGCAGCAACCAACAGAAACACAGTTTTCCACGCAGACAGACAGTGATGTAGACAGGATGAATGGATGGTGGCTAAAACACTGCAGGGGTCATAAAACTATTCTTCTCTGTTTTTTATATTAATAAGCTCTGCACATATTCAAGAGCTACCAAATCCATGTCACCTGGACAATAGTAAACACTTGGAAAAACATCAGGTAATAAGAGAGGACACACAACGAAAGAAGGCCAGATCATAGCACTGATTAAATAATGTGTGGAGTTCCTCAGGGTTCAATGCTAGTGCTCCAGTTTCTTTCAAGAAACTTCTGAGCCAAATTAAGCAAAGACAGCAAATGTGTAAAGTTACGTGGAAGGTATTCTCATTTATATCGGCCACCAAAGATGGCCAGATGTTTGGCTAATACATGGCAATCAAAAATAATGAGAGGAGTGCCCCAGGGTTCAATGTTGGGGCCACCATCATTCTACTTTAAGAGGCTTTTTTGGGCAAAATAATGCAGAAAAAGCAGATATGTACACGTGTGCAGCCAGTTCTCTCACGACGTAGTTACCAGTTTAAAAATTTACTGAACACTTAACCATAAAATGTCTCAAATTAAATACTTAACTTTTAAACAAGTGGCAACTAAAGGACCAGACCCAATAAAAAGTGGGAAATTTACTCTTCTTATTTCAACAAGAACCTCTGACATAACTAGTGTTTCTAAATTGACTGACGCCACCCTAAAGGGCCTCAAAATGCCACCGCAGCTTTTGCCCGAGTCCCATTTTAAAGCAATGAGGTGTGCCCGTTTTCCATTTTCAATACGTGGAAGATCCCGTGCGTCAATGCTTGATTGCAGAGGAAACTTCTGCTGAGTGGCCAGTGGTACTGTTCAGAAAAGCTGAACCAGGGTTATCCTTTGGTCCACGGAGAGAAATAAACTTCTTTAAGCAGTTAAAGTAGATTAAAATACTACTACTGCAGTTTTGTGCAAATATCAAATGTGTGACTCGGGTAATGGGATTGAACAGGTCAGGTCCAAAAGTGTTTTCGTTCCCTATTATCATTGCTTTAGAGCTGTTATGGACACTCTGACCTGGTAGTTTCCTCACAACAGATGTGTATAATGGGTGCTGACAGATTTACTCTTCCTGATGTCTAACAAACTTTAAGAATCCACTCCACACCCACTATTAGGCGTGTGCGTACACATGAACGCTCACGATCCACCGTCACGGGTCTCAAAGTAAGGTCTCATAATTTCAGCACAGGAAACATAAGGCTTGTCTTAAAACCTGCTCGCCTCATGGTTAATCCCAGGAGTGATACAAAGCAGTGTTTTCGTAGTGGTATTGTTCTGTTTGGACAGTTCAGGAGAAGTTCAGGATGTAGACAGGATACTAAAGACGATGGCTGGTGCTGGATACAAGCAAATGTTTTGGTTCAAAATGAGTCATTTGATAAAAAAATGTGGTTAAAGTAAAAGAGGAAGTTGAATTTGAGGGGGGCAAACTATGAAAGTGAGACAATACAACATGGTTTGACTTAGTGCAATGAAATAAGAAATAATACAATATAAACAATGTGTGTTATGATCAGTAGGATACTGAAGGATAGGGTAAAAAAATATATAATTCAGAATAACGCAATTCAAAAAAGGCTATTATATGTTAGTATGGCCAAGCATAGGACAGAAGACCGTAAAAAAGGGTGGATTTGAAGATACTATTCAAAACAGTACAATATGATGTGATACGATACGGCGCAATATGATACAGTACAGTGCATTACGCTACAATACAATATGATACAATGAATAGGATATGATACATTATGTTACAATATGATACGAAAAGGTATGACACAGTCCAACAGCTACGATTGGAAATGATTTGATACGATACAAATCAATATGATATGATATGATGTAATACTTATGTGTCTTCATGTGTGGGTTCTGTAACAGATACCCCGCTTTAGCCAAAGTAGAATCATCATGCTACATCAACCTCAGGCCTCATAAAACTTTCCTGTCCTCACTCAATCACTAAGATTATGATTCTGAGTCGAGCAATTAATTAGCAGTGTACATTAATAACCATGAGGAGAACCTTCCTGTCTTATTCGATCCCTCAGTGTGATGCAAACAAGGAGGTAGTGAGAAGGTGGAGGATGAAATGGTTTGGGAAAGGCCCTTCCTGAGGTGAGACGACTTTAACTTCCTGAGTCAAAGGTGGGGGGCAGGTGTAGGAATGAAGAGCAGCTGCATCCGCAAGGAAGTGGAAAAATGCTCGTCTCACTTTGGGTGGATGTGTGTGTTTTTCAAACCTTGACTTGTAGCCCTGCACACCTTTCGATTTGAGACCGTTACACTAAAATGTGCGACTAACACGTGCAAAATAAAGCGAGCGGATATCAGGAGGATTTTTGTGCGTGTTGTGCTTGTTTACGTTTGGATTAATTTACTTTAATGTGTGCATGTAGCAGAAAAACAGTGAGGGGAGTGTAGAGGGATAAGTTTCTGCCCTGACCACACACATACAGTACACACTTACACACACACGCACACGCGCACACAGACACACACAATTTAGCATTGATTGAACCAACTCAATACACTCACAGACAGTGCCGGCTTGAAGCAGGAGGACACAGCCCGTGGCAAGGTGATTGAGAGAGCACTGTGTGTGTGTGTGTGTGTGTGTGTGTGTGTGTGTGTGTGTGTGTGTGTGTGTGTGTGTTTGTGTGTGTGTGCTGGCAAGAACAACTGGTGACATCTGCAGATGAGCAGCATTAAAGACGGAGATGAAAGACTAATTTTTCATACCTTCCTTATTGTCTATCTATCTATCTATCTATCTATCTATCTATCTATCTATCTATCTATCTATCTATCTGTCTATCTATCTATCTATCTATCTATCTATCTATCTATCTATCTATTTGATGTTTGGGGGTCTTTAGTAGTGTGATCCAGGATCGCCCGCCGCTGCTCTTTGGGCTTCAAACACACGAGGTGAGATCAGCACACATGAAACGATCACAGAGCGGGACAAAAAGACGGAGGGAGGGAGAGAGGCCGAGGCGGGGGAGAGAGGATGTGGAGAAGGGAACAAAAATCATAGGGAGGCTAATGGCAGGGAAGGATAAAAGAAGAGGGGGGGGGAGGAAGAAAGGAAGGTAGGGAGGAAGAGAGGAAGAGGGGAGGCGCCGAAATCTGAATGTTTTTAAACGGCTTATAACATTGAGCGGAGAGGTAAAATTCTGGATAGTTTAGGTTGACCCCGACATCGCCTTTGAAACTAAGAAGTATTTACGTCTCTAATTGGATTTGGACCAATCAGAATCAAGAATTTCTTCAAGCCATGTAATAATGCTAAACCACAAATTAATCGAAATGCAAGCTTATCCAGAAAAAATTGACTTGAATCTTCTTTTATGAACACATATTTGGTTATAGCATTAGATGTTCATGTTGGAAAAAAGATATTTAATATTTAAAGGGTAGCTAATGCAACTAAAGAGAGAATCGGATTAGAGGACAGAAAATTTCAGCAGATGAGTTTATTATGAAATTCAAGAAAAATACTGTATGAAATAATCCAACGTGATTATTTATATTTTTGAATTTTATACTAGATGCTACAGTACTGTACTGTAAAATATCGTACTATACCGTACAACACAATATGATACAATATGATAAATTATTTGTTAAGATACAAAATGAAACTATAATATGTTTTGTTACGATATGATACTATACGTTACGCTAAGATATGATATGAAATAATACGAAATGATATGATACGATTCTAAACTACGTAATATCGTAAGATACGAAATGATATAAAACATACAATACAAAATGATGCGATACTTTACAATACGATACAACACAATATAATACAATAGGTAGGGAAATGATATGATACAATGTAAATTGATCTGATATAATTCACTCGATTGTTTCCATGGTTACATCTATCTTGGTTGCTCAAAAGTGATCAAAAAGTTACATTTCACATAAATTTTTTGTCCAAAAAATTTTGGTCACATTAAATGACATAAATATTGAAAAATCAGGCCTACTTGTTATAGGCTATCTAAAAAATATATCTTAATTAAAATAAAGAAATCAGGAGTTTTTTTCTTTTATCTTATACATTTCCTTCCTGACAGACCGTAGGACACACTTTTCTATCACATTCTAATGATTCAGCCTGAATACGAGGTCAGCTTTAAATTACTTGAGGTTTTACATGTCTTCTTGATGTCCATTTTTCACGCCCCCAAAAGTACCAAACTCAAACTTCCTGATTTTATATTAAAGCTTCCCTAGAGCTAAAGAAAAAGGACACTTTTAATGGTTTCGGAGAAGTGCTTGAAGTGTTTCCTTTAGTGTTTACGACTGTTTAGTCAACCTTGCCAAATGGCTTCTGAAGTTTTTAATGTCGCTCATTCAATTAAAGTTGGAGTGAGAGCTGAACCTGAGGGGGCAATAAGTCACATATTGTTATTATCCTGCCCTGCTAATTACTGAAGCAATGAACTTTAATTAATATCTGAGCTTCATGTCTGCGTGTGTGTGTTTAAGCATGCAAATGTGTGTGTGTGTGGGCATCTCTCCTTTATCTCAAGCCATCTCTCTTCGACACACGTACAAACACACACTTATACACACGCCAGGCGGAGGCTGACATTTCAGAGAGTGTCTTAGTTCAGGTGAAGAACGCTGACACCGTGAACCCGCCAAGGCTAGCTGCGCGGTTAGCATTAGCATAATTATCTTAGTCATCAGAGGCACCAGAGACCGGTTCCAACAACAGAAACAACAACATCACACACAGATTCATGGACTCTGCTTCCAGAAAGTCTTACGTTTGAATCAAAATAGTGCAGACAGCCTCTCATATGTAAAAATGACTGAATGATTACGTTCATTTGGAACACAATGGCCCTAAAATGACAAAGATTTGGGGGTTGTGGTATCTGGAGTACAGCACCAACATACAACGTGTTCAAGGGATAGCCTGAGATAAGAAAATGGTGAAGTGTGGGCATTGGGCTTCTTTTATGGTACCTGGTCCAAATATCCTCGCTGTTGGAGGTTTGCAGGTCACAGGTCAGATAGGCGTAAAGCAGATGGTAAAGCAGATGGTAGAAAATTTTACTTAAAGATAAACAGAGGATGTAAGAGGACCTGAAACCTCTAACCCTACATAACAAGATCACAAACTCAGGTTTGGGAGAGCTGGACATCATTGGCAGTCGTCTCCCAGCAACTGCAGTGCTGTTCTGATACTGGTGTTGTCTTTGTAATAAATTCCTATTATACAAGCAAGCCAGTGTCATGAAGCCTCGTTCTGCATCTACACATCGCGCACGAGATACAACAGGGTATATTATCTACTGTGTGAGATATCATTCACTAGATGGACAGATCTGTGGGCCTTACCCCCAATTTCCACTGCATCTGGAACGGCTATGAAAAAGCCGTATCCGCCGATCGTAGCTGATCGTAACCAATCAAGTTAATGTGTCCATTTCCACCGGCTTCTTTCCGTTCTATTTTTTCTGGACGCTGGAGCATGCCGGATAAATTCAGCACAGAGTAACCCGTGCTGGAAAGGAAGTCGGCCACAGTCACAAAATAAAACACCCGGCTTCTTTTCAAAATAAAACACTCCATGTTTCTGGCGAATTATACTTCACACCATGCAAACAGGCGGGGACGAACAAGTAAAAAGGTTTATGGACGTCATTTCACCCTGATGACACCATGGATTAGAGAAGGGGTGGGCGATTAATTTTTAGATGGGGTCACATGAGAAACCTGAACTGTGTTGGAGGGCTGAACCAACAGAAAAGCAACCCCAAGTAAGCAACTACTAGTCAAAAACAAGCCCAAAGATAAGATAAGATAAGTGGACTTGGCAACTATAAAGCGTCTACGTATATTTTGCCAATGTTAAAACTTGTCTCTGTTCACAAGTGCGTCCAAACTGAAATAAAACAACGGCAAGTTTTTCAAAATAAAAGTCACACACTTGTATAGCACGTTGATGATTTGATTGACGGACCTCACGAAGGGCCGGGCAGGGACATCCAAAGGGCCGGATGTGAAATGCTCAGGTCTGGATTAGAGGATGCTGATTCTTTAAGTCTAGAAGTAGATTTCCTCCTCTGGAAGGACACAATCTACTGCTTATATGGTTAGCCTATGTGGCTAAAGACAACTTGTTATCATGCGATTGCACGTGAATCCGCAGGTTCTTGGCGCCCGTAATTGGCCAGGAAATTCGCCTCGCAAACTGATCCGCTAGGTACTGGCTGATGGCGGTGGAAATCAAAGGTTAAAGTGGCACTGCATTGAAAACTGACATGGCTATGAAGTGGAAGTGGCCGCACGGCATAAAGAAGCATAAAGTGCATCCAGATAGTTTGGAGAAATATCTGTTCTAAAGTGGCAAAAGGGTTTTTTTGGATTTTGGTGACTTTGCTCTGGAGTGGAAGTCACCGCATAGACTCAGAAACCCTTCCAAAACACATCGTCCTTGTTTGTAAATTAAAACCTAAATATTCAGAAAGGACAGAAACATTCGTCTGGTGTTGAAAAAGTGCAAGATTTTTGGACTGAATAGTCAACAGGCGTTCAAGATGCTCTGCGATGGGTGCTATGCTGCTTTGTGTCCGTAAAAACAAAAAAATAGCACCGCTGGAGATGTGGTTTGACTGTTTCCAGGAACTTTTTCCAGCTTGAATCTCTTTGTGCCTAGAGAGAAAGCGAATTTAAGAAGCTAAAATACCAATTACTCTTCTTTTTAAACATGCGCAATTAAAAGTAAAAGCACCACAAAGCACAGCCAGAGTAAAAGTGAGCTGACACCGCCAGTGTGTGTGTGTGTTTGTGTGCCTGTAATGTGTGAGTCATGCTACCTACTGGGCTTTGCCTTGAGCTAGCGGTGCCCTTCACTTCCCTTTGCCCAGAGCTTCGCTACGGCCACGACTGCTGCGAGGCAGACAGAGAAACTCTCACAACTAAAACAACTACCTGATGAGAACAGGGGCTTCTTGGACGTGTCGATACACTTTGATTTTCTCCCGTCCTTGTCATGCCGGAGTTTTAGAAAGAGTTTGTAGGCTTCCTTGTACTCACGGTGACAGAGGACATCTTGGCTTCCTGTAGTGTGATACTAAGATTATTCTTTTGTGTGAGTATGAATAAGAAAAACACATTTTCACAACTTTTCTTTGATTCTCTTCACCCTAAAGAAATTCAAATTACAAGGCCGGGGGATCCTTTTACTGTATCTCTTTATTCAGCCTGAACTGATGTTTAACACTTAGGAAATTCTCACTGACGTTTACCTATAAAAAGACTCGACAGTTTCATTAAACTTCAAAACGTCAATATAAAAAGCCTCAGGAATAGAATGTGTATAAATAGGAATATATATATAGCACATATTGTGGTGAACCTTAGAGCATATTTCCTAAAGTCTGCTCTACTTACAACAATGACTTCTATTGCTACTTGTACTACTATAACTAGTAGTAATAGAAATTATGTTAACATCATTTGACATTTCATTAATATTGTCATAAAACTTAGTTTAAGCTATGTCACAAAGTTTGCTCTCTTCTGCTGTTGAGTACAATTTAAATACAATTCATAGTTGAATATAAAGTATCATCAAAAGTATCGATGAGGAATATTACAAATAAATTTACTGTTTTAAAATGGAATTAAGATATAAAATTAAGAGGAGAGGAGTACATACAAACACAATTGTCGTTATAGTAAGTAACTGCAACTGACATGCTAAAATAAAAAATAAAAATTTGAAAGTTTACTCAATTCCCGAGGCTTTTATTTTGAAATCTTGAACTTCTGTGTTGCGTTTATCCTTTAAGAATAAGAATAAGAAGAACTTTATTAATCCCAGATGGAAAATTCAGTCGGAACTTTATATCCTGACTATTACTAATTACTATTACTATTACTTACTATTACTATTACTTTATTACTTTATATCCTTATGTTAAAATGCGATGAAGGCATGGACTTTTTGACTGAAATGGGAAAAAAATAATAAACAGCGACAAAATTCAGTTTTCTTGTTTTTGGTTTAAATTTAAAAAGACCAATCAAGATCTTTTTTTGGACTTGTGTTTTGTTTACATCTTCTAAAAAGAACAAACTGCCCTAAAATTCGCTGATCATTTATTTATTTTTGATTTCAGCCATGCAGGCAGCTACGCTAGCATAGTTTTCTGGTGTGTGAACGTAGCTATGTTAGGATTGGTTTGTGCCGAATGAGTGATGCAATTGATATTGTTATTGCATTACACATCATTAACACAACAGTTAATATATTAGTTTAGGCAATATCCAATTTAACTGTTAAGACCAACAAGGAGAAAACAGTTATCACTCTGTCCACAGGGGGCGCCAAACTCAAACTCAAAGTTCCTGACTGGAGCTTTAAAGAGAAATTCAAAATCCCCAAAACAGAAAACTATTCCTTTAAAATCTTAATTTGACCCAATATGTCAAGTTTATTGATTTTTACTTGAATTTTTTTTTTCACTATTTATTAAAATCTTGAGCTCTGCCAATTACCCGACTCCAGTTTTTACTCTCTCTCCCCCTTTTAATTCATTTATATCTCGCTCTCTCACTCAAACAAATCAATCATCATGCATTTTGTGGCTCTGCTGTCTCGTCCTAAATTTTTACACACACACACACCTTCATGTTCCCATATACAAAGGCATGCACATAATGACACACACATGCACACACACTGTTTTCTGCTGCGCCTTTGTGCTCCTTTAACCTTGAGGTCTGCAAGCGCCCAACTGTGATAATCTCTCAGACTGCCTTCATTACTGTTATAGCACACACACACGCGCGCACACACACAAATACACACACGCAGTGACAAGCATCAAGGAAAAACACATACAGGACCACACCTATGAGCACACACACACATTCAAGAGCCATCTTTTTTCTCACTATTGACTTGGATCAGCATTAGGCTCATCAGATAGTCGGGCAGTGTGTGTGTGTGTGTGTGTGTGTGTGTGTGTGTGTGTGTGTGTGTGTGTGTGTGTTATTGGCTGTCCTCCCCCTAACTGGCTAGACGGACACAGCCTCCAGGAATGTCAAACCTCCAACCTGCATTCTGATGTGGGCACCAGCCGTCACTTGTACACCATCGCCCACCATGAATTAGTGTGTGTGTGCAAGTGTGTGTGTGTGTGTGTTTAAATCATCTTTTGCACCGTTGTGTGAGTGACAGGCCCTGGGCGTTGCAGCAACCAGACAGGTATGGAAAAAAGTGGAAAGATGGAGGGGGGAACTTTTGACAAAACATCATTAGCTGGTCTTCTTTTCCAGTATGTGTGTGTGTGTGTGTGTGTGTGTGTGTGTGTGTGTGTGTGTGTGTGTGTGTGTTTACTTTTGTCCAACTTGGAAACTTTTACATTTTACATAACAGTTGATTGGGAACGCCATTCCCCTGCAGCAATTAGACTGCACTTTAAAGGGACATGTCAATTTTTTTAAAGTAAGAAAGAATAAAAACCGCCAGGAGAACCAGAACGCAAGCTCTAAGTTTTAAGCTTTAAGTGTAGGCTCTGCTCAGAATTATTCAGCACTTTGCCATCAGACAGCTTCATTGTTTTTGTGCTATTTGCAGATATAACACTCGCCCTATCTGGAGAGAACTGCCGCCTAGCCTGCGTGCTGTTTCTCTTCGAATTAACGAATCAAAAGAGTAGAGTCAAGCAACATACATGCTTAAAAGAGGATTTTGGTCATACAATCTCCAACATTGAACTTAGCTGTTAAAGGGATATTCCGGCATAAAACGGATTTAGGGTCAAACCACACCGTAACACCGAGTTAGAAAACCCCGTCGAGAGATGAATGTTGCCGACCGTTTGCTTCTCCAGTTATACCAACTTTAATAACGACCGCACGATAGCAATACACAGCGGTCTGAGGAGCCATAAACAAACCTCAACCAAAACGCCACTCTATAGCCACAAATAATACTCAGAACAGCACCTAACTTCATCAACAGTACATGTAGGGTCCTAGCCATAGTACTAGCCACCAAACAGTGAGACCTCGGGCCAGTCCATTACAGACTACAGCGGAGTTTCGCAGCTCAAGGAAGAACATTTATGATAATTTCTTTATCATTTCCTTGAAGTAATAATCACCATATTAATCATTTTACACTGCAGACGCTGTAGTTCTTCTGCCTTAGCGTCTCGGTCTGATTGCATTTCCATGAAGAAATGATCATAAATGTTCTTCCTTGAGCTGCGTCACCCCGCTGTAGTCCGTAATGGACCGGCCCGAGGTCTCGCTACAAACAAGCGGCTGCTGGAAGAGAGTAGGTGAGTTGTGTTTAGTCTCTTTGCTAAAGAAATGAGTCAAAGTTAAAAAGATGTTTGGTGGCTAGTACTATGGCTGTGACCCTATATGTCCTGTTGATGAAGTTAGGTGCTGTTCTGAGCATTATTTGTGGCTATAGAGTGGCTTTTTGGTTGAGGTTTGTTTATGGCTCCTCAGACCACTGTGTATTGCTATCCTGCGGTCGTTACTAAAGTTGGTATAACTAGAGAAGCAACATTCATCCCTCGAGGGGGTGCCTAACTCGGTGCAATGATGTGTTTGACCTTAAATTAATTTTACGCCGGAATATCCCTTTAAAGAAGCCCAAATTTAGGGGCTTCTCCCACATTTAACCCTTTGCTGTATATCTTCCCTCACTCTCTGTTCAATCTCATTGATGTAATCTAATATCATGAGCTGGTCTTTGTTTGTGCATTTGTGTTTATGCATATCTGCACATTTACCTCAAACTTCTGGTCACTTTTTGCAGCTATTTGACTCATAATGTGCAGCAGCAGGCGCATGCATTCATACCTGTGAGGTTGTGTGTGTGTGTGTGTGTGTGTGTGCGCAAGTGTGTGTGTGTGTCTGCCCTTTAAGTGCCAGTGACAGTGGCTTG